TTACCATAAGTACACTGACAGTTAAAGTTGGTTTAAAAATCTTTTCCCCTGTATCGCCCATTGCTAGCCCTATGATGTCATCTTGATTTCGTTCATAAAATAAATTTGCTTTTATTGACATTTCATCGAAGCACAATAAACAATATTTGCTTTGAGACTGGAAACTGTCAACTTTTTTTTTTAATAAAATGAAGAACTCGGGATTATCTAATCCTGGTCCTATCTTAACTGCTCTGATTTCTTTTAGCAAAGTGTTAGGCGAGGGAAGGCTATATTTAGACATTAAATATTTTTTATAAACTCTGGGACCAGCAAAATATATTGATAGGCATTCAATTTTAAATTCTTTGCTGTAACGTCTTCCCTTTGGATGTTTATGCCCCTGTGATACTTGCATATTAACACATTTTGCAATGTCTGGATTGCAAAATTTATATGTTAGGGACATATATTGCTCCAAAGATATATTGTCCAATTCATTATTTTTTTCAAGTACCTCAACCCTTTGTCGTAAATATTTGTTTTCGGCAGTTATGGACTTGATATGCTGCCTGTATTTAACTTTTCTTGGTGTATCGAAGGATAAACTGGCTGACGTTTGGGTAAATGTTGGAGACGTCAGAGGAGGACTGTCTGTAATTGGACTCAGGGCGATCTCATGTTGAACCTCGATTTTGAGCTCGGTTTCAACTAGATTTGTCTGGTTAGCTGCAAAAATACATTTTATTTAAACTTTAAATAACAACTTAGATGAATAAGTATAAAGAACGATTTATTTGCTTAAAAATGATTTTTTTTTATTTAGGGCGGATCAAAATTTTACAGCTAAAGATAATCATGTGATTATTAGCTTGTTTTAAAAAGTTAAAAAATAAAAAAGTTGTAGTCTTTTAAAAGTGGAACAAATTAGGTTCACCCCTCGCTTCACCCTGTATTTATATTTAATTTTAAGTAAAACACTATTATTTTTAGTACCTGAATCAAATAGTGCAGGTGTGATAGGTGGAGCTATCAGTCTGTCATCTAGAACTCGTATTTTCGCAGGAAGTTGCAAGAGCGGTGCACTATACGCGGTCTTCAGTTGTGGAACTCCCCTCGAGGGACGGGAATAGGGTAGGAATTGCAATGGCTACTAATCTTGTACGAAAGTGACTCGTGAACATCTTCTCTTCAAAGTGGTCTTCACATATCAAGTAACTTTTATATAATTCGATTACTTTTTCAAATAGGTCCTCTCGATTGGCTTTCATTGCTCATGTTCTGGCTCTGTAAATATTTAAATATATTTTTAAACAATGCTATATAGGTATTGTAAACGCCAAATCTGAAGAACCAGCGCAAATGCTCAAGTTCGTTTACTTAAAAATCGCCACGCCCATTCACAATTTGAACCTTGTCCTTGCTTACGGTCAGTAGCGTAACGACTAGAACATTGTTTGTTTCTTGTTTCTGTGTTTTGGTTAAAGTGACTGGTTTTATTTTTAATAATGTCTTCTATTGTGGGTGAAAAAAAGCGCAGATTTGTTATTAACGGACAAAGTCGTGAAGTAATATACAATGTTTTTAAATATTTTGACGCAACAAAAAAGGAAGGAGTTACTTTAGATGATATCAAACTTCAAACTGCACAAGCAACAGGTAAACATACCCTGTAGTTTATTTGGAATTAAACTTGTGTAGTTTTCCATATTTTTTTGTATTTTACACACATATCTGTGCATTTTATTTTTGATTAATATTTTATATTTAAATTTTCTAAATTTATCTTGTTTCTAAAAAAATTTGTTTCCTAATAAATGTAAAAAAATACTAAATTTAACATTATTATAATATTACGGTCTTTACTTGATGCAAATCCATATTATTAAAATGAGAAAAACCAAACATGGTAGATTTTCACATTTTTATTTAAAGAAATAAAAATTAAAAATTGCACGACAATTGTTTCTAAGTACAACTTCTTCTTCAAATGTAATTCATTTACATTTCTAATATATATCCAAAATAAACTAATTAGTTAAAATAGGTACTTAAGAGAAATATATTAATAAATTCCATTAAAATATCATTACCGGGATTATCTCACAGAAAACTAAGAACAGGTAAAGAGATTTAATTAGGCTACTTATTAATATCTAATTGATCACTTAAGAGGATATTTAAATTTTTAAATCAATTTATTTCAAGTGTTTCTAAATGGTTTAATTTAATGCCTTTATAATCCAAATGTGAAACAATTTTTGCATAAACGATTGATTTTCAGAAAAAAATATGTTTTGTAGAATTATTTTTGTTTTTAGTATAACTATTGTAATGTTTTAAATAGCTTTTTTTTAAACTACGGCCCGTTTGACCAATATTCAATTTTTCCACAATTTAATTTATTTGAAAAAGGATAATTTCCTGACCGTAACAGAATTTTATATAAATACCGAACGGAAAGCGGTAGAACAGCCTTAACCTAAAGTCGGTTTACCTAAAAATAATGATTTTTTTAATTGACTATAGAATTATGTACTAATAATAACACTAAGCAATATGTATGAACAAGTATCATTTACTATTTTCCATTTATTTTATTTCTTAAAATATACGGACCTCTGGTTTACAACTTTCTAGGTAAGCTACCAATTCTATTCATCCGTAGGCGTGTTAGTAGCATTATAAATGCGCATCCTTGGTTCTTTAGATCTGGCGCATACTGTATCTATTTGCTTCCAATTAATATTTGTTGATATACATATTTTATTATTTCGATTTGCAAAAATATTAAACAAAACCACCAATAAACCCTCTTTTACCTTAACAAGTATTAAATTAATAACTACTTAGGTATATATTTATACAGGCCAAACATAGCTTCTCATAATTAAAGAAGATTTTGTATGACTTTAAATTACTTTTACTACAACATAGCAAATAATCGAAAGTTAACTTTTCATCAAAATATGCAAAAAATATCGTGTAGGTAAGTACTTACCGGTTAGCATCCTTAGGAAAACAATAGAATTTCTTCTTACAATTATAACCTTTATTAAAACAATTTCGCACTGCACAAACATGATGATGTCCTGATAGTTTTTTGTCACTCATTTTACTACAGTAAAAAATAAACATAAAACACAAATGTTCAAAAGAATTACAAATTAAACACAAAAATATACGCACGGCTATGTCCGCTTAACGTAAAATAAGTAATACCAATCTCCCGACTGCACGGCAAAGACATCTTTTCCCCGAAAAGGCGGAGCATAAAACCTGCGCGAAGGGATCGACGCAAACCGTTCCCGCCAAGAGAGTGTTCTAGCTGGATATGAATAAGCTGTGATATTACTTCAACGGTAGACCGGGCGAGGTCGCTTGTTACACTTTTGCAATTATGGGGATATCTCCCGCGTCCGTGGAATACTATATTCAACTAGTCACCACTCTAAGGCTTTCGAACAATTCGCTCAAGCTTCTTTAGAAGTTACGGTGTTTCGCGGACGATTATTGTACATTTTAGATGTGTTATAATAATATTAATAATTATAATTTTTAGTTTGTTACTAAAATGAGTTCGCGAAGTGTTAAACTTAAATCAAAATCGTACTGTTCAAACAATAAAAAATGATAATAATACAACAGTTAAAGATGGAGCTATTTTGACAACTGTTCCTTTCGAAACAGGCAACGTTTTTACGACTATTGACCAGGACCCACACCAAATGTTACAATAAGAATTTCGTGATGAAAATGTTGAACTTGTAGAAACATCAAAAAATGATTCCAAAGTCAGTAAAAATCAAGTGAATGAGTCATTATCGTCCTCCAGTTCCTCATCCAGCACATCTTCAACCTCATCCTCCCGCTCTTCGTCATGCAGCTCTTCATCTAGCAGCACCACGAGTCGAAGAAATTCTACATCGCCGGTTGATGACAGCGATGCAGATCCCGATTTTTCACATAACGGTGATGACGAACTATCGAGTGAAGGTAAATTAATATTTAGGTTAATATAATAAATATTCTGATATCGTACATTATTTTGATTGCAGATGAAGGAAATGAAAAAGATGTCTTGCAAAAAAAAACAAGAAAGCGACGAGCGAACCCGGAAATTTGGAAATCAAATGTTGCAAAAAAAAAGACGAAACCTAGGAAAAAAGTATATTTCTAAGTCTACAAAACAACTTGTCCCTTCAAGAAAAATAGGAACAGGATGTACTAAATGCATTCATAAATGTACGACCAAAATTTCTGACCACGAACGTTTTAAACTTTTCCAAAAATATTGGGGCTTCGGAGATGTGCAAAAGCAGCGAGATTTTATAAGCCGTCACATTAAAGACATTCCACCGCTTCTTCAGAATAAAACGAGACTCGGAAATGTCGCTTATTATTTTAAAATTAATGGAAATGACATTCGTGTGTGCAAACGGTTTTTTTGTGCGACACTTTCTATTTCATCAACAACAGTCACGACTGTTAGAAAAAAACTTGTTGATGGTGTTCTTGAAATTGATAACCGTGGAAAACATGGTAATCATAGTAAACTCTCCAGCAGTATCAAGGAAGACATTCGCACCCACATAAATTCTATTCCAAGAATACCATCACACTACCTTAGGGCGCAAACTGAACGTGAATTCATCGAAGGAGGGCGGACCATCGCCCAAATATATCGTGACTATGTTGATAAATGTAAGGAACTAAACAAACCACATGGGAGTCGGGCAACTTTTTTTGAAATATTCAATGAGTTCAACGTATCCTTTTTTATACCAAAAAAGGATCAGTGCGAACTTTGTACACAATACGAAAATTCTAAACACAACGAGGCACAATACAACAACCACCTGGAAGAAAAAAACGAAGCAAGAAAGCAGAAAGAAAAAGACAAAATGGACCCAGACAAATCGAAATATGTTTGTGCTTATGACCTCCAAGCTGCCCTTGCCTAGGGGCGATATATCGATATTTTATTACAGATCAAAGTTATCGACGTATAATTTAACTATCTATGACCTTAAAAGTAATGAATGTATTTGCAACGTGTGGCACGAGGGCGAAGCCAAACGAGGAGCCATCGAGATCGGGACGTCAGTGTTTAAATATATTGAAAAAGTAGCTAACTGGAAAAATAGGAAGATATAAGTTTTGTCTTCTACACAGACAATTGCGGAGGTCAGCAGAAAAACAAATACATGTTAATGATGTACATGTATTGCCTCTGCGTCTTTGACAACATAAAAACGATTGAGCATACATTTTTGATTAAGGGGCATACCCAAAATGAAGGGGACAACGCACACTCGATAATCGAAAAAGAAATTAGAAGAAGTTTAAAATCGGGCGGCATTTATGTCCCTTCTCAGTATTTTCAAATCATGAGAACAGAAAAAAGAGCACTCCATACTTTGAGGTCAACGAAATGAGCCATCAACATTTTATTAACTTCAAAGCTCTTGAAAATGAGCTTGGTGACAATTTTAAGAAAAACGAAAAAAACGAGAACTTACCATTTTCTGATATCAAGGTTTTAAAATTTTCGCAAGATAACCCCTTCAAATTTTTGTATAAAACATCCTACCTCGCTGATGATTTTGAAGAAATAGATATATATAAAAACCAAGTTCAAAAAAATACAAGAACATCGGTCATTGCCTTGTCTGTGCAGGAAAGGAAAGAAAAAATTAAAAATTGGACCGTAAAGAAAGCATACAATGCGCCCAACCCCATAGCTCCAAACAAAAAAAGAGATCTCATGTACTTGGTGGACAATAACTATGTTAAAAGAACCTACTACGAATTTTATAATAGTCTTAGGGTATAAGACAAAATCTGTGATTATTTTCAAGAATGCATCGCTATCTTTAGGACTGTGTTATTTTTGTACCTTAAGTTTTTATTTAAATTACTCGTTACAAACGACTAAAGTTACTTGGTCACCTTTATTAAACATTGGGATTATGTATTATGTTTTTTAAACCATATGGCAACTAAAATCCAATATATGTATACTCGTACATTCTAATGAAATTGCTTTTATAATTAGAAGGTATGAAAGATTCTGTGTTGCCATTTTTTAGAATATAACTGTTGTTTTTTTTTTTCTTCATTTTATATTCATAATAGTTTTTCTGTTTTATTTGTTTCTTTTTCTTTTATAAAAAATAAATTCGTTTCTTTAAAATGTCGTTTATTTGTTCACCCTATATTACATAATTCATCATTAAATGACATAAATGACTACAATTATTTGATTGATGCATGTGATAACTTAAAAATAAAATAGAATCGTCTTAAAAACACCATAATATCCAAAAACCAAAATACATTTACAGTTCATCAAATTTCTAGAGGCTTTCGACGGCTAGACAGAGAAAGCACTACTGACAGGCATCCCGACGGATTTACGCAATGAAAGTACACTCTGCGCATCAAGTATTTCACTATTTCATTCTGACGTAAATGTCAGATGTAAATTTCGCTAAAACATTTCTTTTATTTTCGTTTGTGTTTTTTGCTCATTACAGTTTAATAGAGCCTAAGTATGGAGTTTAATAGCAAATTAAGAGGCCGCGTGATTAACAGTCAATCTCGCGATATAATAGCCAATGTTATAGAGTTTATGAGAAGAGAAGGAAACTTTAATTCACCTTCAATACCATTTAAAAATGTAAATGATCGTGTTGCTGCAGCCACAGGAGTATCTAAAAACACTGTCGTCCGCATTTCTGTAGAGAAAAAAAGAATCGATAACCGTGAGATATCGGAATTTTCATCACCAAGAAAAACCATTAAAAAACCAAAAACAGTTAATGATATAGATGAAGCTGCACAAGAATCAAATTTTATTTTTTTATTATTAGATAGCTATTTTTGTTTCTGAGTTGTGTTTATTTACAGGCTCAATTTTTTTCCGTTTCTCCTTTTTGATTTTTATATGGGGTTTCAAGTTGTTTTTGACTTATTTCGACGTAAATCACAACAACACACTTTTTTAATAAAGCAAACAAGTGTTAAGAGGTATATGTACGTGTAAACTACAATTACAAAAAATTGATATGAAACCCATGAAACTACCAACAAAAATGTAAAGTTAGCTTCCGTACTAGAACATAGTGTCATTCGTCGAGATAATTTATCGTTTTTTTTAATAGATCAAGAAATGTAAATATTCCCCTGTTATTTTTTATAAAATTATAAGAGAAATAAATTTTTTTCTTAATAGTATAGTTTATTATTTTGTAGAAAAACAAAATTTCGATAATTTTAGTAATGTTTCAGAAACAACCGTTATTAATAATAGGTACCATTTTCCTTAATAAGGTAGAAATAAAATATAAACTATTTCCACGATTTACAAAGGCCTACAAAAAAATTATAGGTATTTTCCGCTATCCTATAAAATTTATATTTTCTGACTCAATTTCAAAAGGTTGAAGGAATTCCAAAACACCTTTTATGGCATAATAATTATTTTCAATTCTACATACTATCTTTAGCTGCTTTTAAAAACGTTCTAAGAAAGTCCAATCAGACCAATTTAATCCCTAAACTATTCCACACTTTTAAAATTTAATTACCTAAAAATATTAAAAACTATTTAAAATAACTTGTTTAGCAGACTGTACAATAGCTATCTTAGTCACACGTAGCGCGTTCTCTGTCTGGGCGTCGATCACCTCTAGAAATTTGATGAACTGTATTTAGCTATAACAACTACAAAATTTGAAATAAATTTGTCAAATTTTATCATTTTTGATTAGAAAACAATTAACTAATATTCATAAGCAAACCAAGAAAAGAATAATTGACACTTTAAAATAAAATTCCGGTTAAAAATCTATAACAATAACTAATAAACACCCTTATTAGAATAACAAAATCTTAAACCTTCATTTTCCTAAAAACTACTTTTTGGAGATGTTACAGTATTTCGCGACGAGTGCGATATGATGATGAGTCATCCATAGTACAACATGGCTACCACTTCCGTCAGATTGATTAGATTAAGGCAGACATGGCATGCTCCTTCCTGACTCTATTTATTCAAAGATTAGAAGCCAGAGAAAGCTCTTCTAGTTCTTGTATTGTATAAATGTTCGAGTCCGCAGACGTATATTTAACTCCGCTTCATACTAATACGAATAAGGTCGGATAAAACCTTCCATGGCTATAACGCCGTACCGCTGTGCCGGTCGGAGTGGGGGGTGTTATTTTTTTTTTTTCGTTATGGTGTTACGAAATTTCTTAATTCGGTCGCCGCTCAAAGCCCGCGATAAAAGCTATGCAATAGCTTAAAAATGTAAAAGCAATTTAATCCGCTTCCCACTGTTTATTAAATTAGAGTTATTTTGTAGGACGATGAGTAAAGCATTTTATTCAGGTTTTCAAGACTATCAACTTAAACTAAACCTGCTATATCTACTAGATGGTACCGACAGATATGAAGAATTTAAATTGTCTACCAAAAATGAAGATGCTGCCAATTTTGATGATGTTGTTTATGAGACACCAGAAGACACCACTTTAGTTCAAGCAATACATTTTCCGGAAGTAGATGTTGACCAAAAAATAAATAAATATGATTTGTTCAAATATTTAGCAGATGTTCAAAATGTTAAATTTAAAACTGACAATATTCGAAATGTCATTATTTGCATATATTGTACGTCACCTGAAAGTATAAACAAATTTCTAAGTAACGAAATTCAAAGATGTGTTAAAGACAATTCGGTTGTTCCTTTTGAAAATGTTAAATGTTACTCTTTTGATCAAAATGAAGATCTTGAAAAATACATTTCTGAAAATAAACCTGAGATTCCCAAAAATGTAGTTAGATCCAGTTTAGATAAATTATTACTTGTACCAATATCTGAGAATGATTTGGATCAAAAAATACAAAAATTAATTGAAAAAATGCAAATATTAAGTAATGTAATGTCTCCACTATTAGCTATGATTATTATTTTGGATAAAATCAAAACGTGGTATAATGCTTCAGAAGGAACTTATCTTACTGAAAAAAATTTACTAGCATATATCGCTGAAATTAATTGTACAATTTACATTGATTCTAAAATAAAAGCCTCTTCTGAATCTTTGAAAGAAATAGCTTTTAAAGATAAAATATATTCATATTTTTCTGATAATATTAATAATAATAATTTACTTTTAATAAAAATTGAAAACAAAGAATCCTATAAAGGGTACGAATTAATAATTTGGAAACTTTTATTAGAAAAATTAAAGTCTGAAAACAGAAACGGAACTAACAAAGCAGAATATGAATTGCTAGAAAAAATGTTATTTGTAGATCCAGAAGTACCATTAGATACTAGTATTACAATAAATATAATCGAATCATTTGAATTACCGAAATACAGTTGTTTAGTTATCCCGATTTTTGGTGACTTTAGACAACTGTACCTTATTAAAAGTGAGTTGAAAAAGGCTATTAATATTCAAAGAGAACAGACTAGTAAAAGAATTATCGCCGTCTCTAATATAGCACGCCGAGCACATTTATGTTATTTTTTTTCAAATTTTAAAATAATTGACGAACCAATAGTAAATGGTATGATTCGTTTTTCCAATCTGTGTATCAAACTAAAGGAAACTAATGAACGGAAAAATAATAAAATGAAAACTGATAAACGGATAAAGAGTAAAATGGAAGCTAATAAGCTTGAAAGTAATGTTAATAAAGTAACAAAAATGAGTTCAGTAGTAACCAAGGACCGGAAAAAATGCCTATTTTAATTCAATTGATTTGCGAAAAATATGCAAAAGTATTTAAGAAAAATGCAATGAAAAAATAATAATTAATAATCCTCACTTTATATTTGTGTAACGTTGGATATAATCACATTTAAAGAGTATAAGGGAAAAAGGGACCCATTGACAATTTTGGCTTTCCAAATTAATTACAAAATTAAACTTTACACGTGATTACAGGCTTTAACATACTCGCAATTTATAAATGAGTAAAATATGTCAAATCTTAATCATTTCTGAGACTTTCTATTCAGATTTTGTTTGAATAATCGATTTTTACTAGTAAACACGTACTAGGCAAAAAGGGGCTCATTATTCTCAACTAGGTATACAGGGTGTCTGTAAAAGGTCTTTACAAAAACATACCACATATTCCTTAGACCAAAATAAGTCGATTTAAGTAAAAGTACCTTAGTACAAAGTTGCTTCGTTTGGGCTCCAGAGGGCCTTGAAATTACAATTTTTAAATCGTTTTTCAAATATAAACATGGGCGAAGTTATGTCATCAGATCTGGGGGGGGGGGCTAAAGCCCTAGCCATATAATATATAATAGTTCTGGAGGTATACCTACTGAAATTAAGTAAACAATTCTGGCGAATCTATGAAAATGGATAAAATATCATATATAATATATATTTATATTAAGTGAAAAAACTGAAAAATTTTCATCACAAAAATTTCCCTCATTTTCACAGTCATTAAATAATAGTTTGTGCAACAAGAGTAGATATGGGCAATCCACTTGAGTTATACAGTATATTTACTAAACCCAGGACATGTTTTATTTTATGGTTTAAAGGACATTTCAAGTACCAAACTTTTATTATTGTTGAACTTATTTAAAAATCTTACTAGATTTCTTCTTATATTATGAAGTAAATTATGTAGAACTTTGTATACATGTAAATGGTAATAAAAACCGTCACAAATCAGATTACAGTTTCGATTCTATACAAAGTTTTGCAAAATTTTAATATTGTGAATTTGTAGATATCCATTTATGGTAAAAAACTAAATTTTACGACTTGCACTTGGAAAATAATGAATACTTTAGTTTTGATTTTGACATTAACACCATATCGATTGCAATTTGCTGGGGACTTTTTCGCAGATTTCATTTTTAACATAAACACTATCACATACTATAAGAAATAAACAAATTTAACACTAAACGTAAGAAAAACTCGAATTGTAATTGATACAAATTAAAATGTAAACAATAAAAACGTTGCCAAATGATGAACTGATTTTAAAACAAAATTAATAAATGAACTGAAATTAAAAAAAATTAATATAATAAATCAGTTTTATAAAACAATCCTTAAATAAATATAGAGTATGATTACATATTACTATACACAAATTTTGATTATTAAATAAAAGGTCTTAGCAACTTCTTCAAGAGCTTAAATCCGACGACGTAGCGAAATTTTGCTACTTCTGGCAACACTGAACGATATCCTACTTATAGGGACCTTCTACAAATTTCCTGCAGAGGGCGTATCACTTAGCTTGAATCGCGAATAAAGATCCTTCCAATTATATCTTCTCAAGGAAGTGTAGGATGTGGAGTGGCTTCAAGTTAGGTAAATCTCCCTCTTCTATTTGATATGCTCCTAGGTATAGTGCCTTTGGATTCTGAAGTGATACACATTTAGTTAGAATGTGAATGAAGGTTTTTTTCCTCTTCCTCCTCACAAAATCTGCGCTATCTTCTACTACTCTCAGTTTACTAAGGTGTCATTTAGTTGGTAATGCCCAGTAAAGATCCCTGTTACAAGTGTTCTCACTACTAGAAAAATGTATATTATGATAACAGCTTAAAATACAATCTGGCTAATATGGAAACACCCCGAAAGCCTTGCCAGACTCGTCTAATGACCGTCAGGCGCGCTAAATTCGGCACGTTCGATTACTATTCCTCTCCTCGTTTAACTACCTGGCTTGTCAGGTCCGACCGAAATACGGTTTTATAACCGAAACAGACCAAATTTCGGCTCCTTTCTTAGTTTCGGCCGAAACAGAAACAAGAACTTTCTTTTAAGGCAACCTGTTATTGAAATTTGCAATATCTTATTGTAATCCTTATTTTAGACTAATTAACTCGTATTATAAATTTTAGCTACATTTACTTATTACCTATTTATTTATGTGATCAAAAGAAGCCATTAATAAATTTATTGACATGTTCACTTGAAACAAAGCAGAGAAGTTTGTGTGTACGTGCACTGTGTAGGAATGGCACCCGGCACAGTCGCCATTGTACGAAAACTTTTAAAAGTAGACTCGCTGTCGGCTGCAGTTTTGGCCAGTTTTCCGCCGAAACCGAAACTGTAGTCGAAACTATTATTTAAAGCCAAAGTTTGCCGAAACCGTAACCGAACACTATTTGTGAGTCTGGCAGGCCTCCGTAATTGTAATTGTCAGCCAGACGTGTATTTTCACTTACGAATATTTTGAAATTTATCCTGTGTGCAAAAATTTACTTTTAATAATTTAGGCACGTTTGGTATTGGGTAAGAAAGTTTTACACCAAAATATCCAAATTTCAAAACTTGACAGACATGCATTAAAACGACTAAAATCAAATTTTCAAAGGTAGCCATACCACAGAATATAAAACATATGTTTTATATGCTGTGGTCATACCATGACCATTTGTCATATTTTAAGTCGTTTAGTTGACGCGAAAAACCTAATTATTATTTTACATAAAATAAATGTACGAGTAGTATATTTCTACCTAGTTATAATTGGTATTAAATAAAATATTAACCACTGAAATGGTAAATTTTTTATATGCATGAAAGAGCTGCTCAACTGTCAAAAACATTTTCAGTATAATTTCGTTCAGGGTACCCACCAAAAGAAAAATTTCCGGAAATTTTTCTGGTTGTCACGGAAGTGTTTTAAAATAACCATTTGATTGGCTATAAAATGGAGGTGTAAAATTATAATTTAATCTATCACGTAACAAATTTTCAAACCCGGGAAAATAAAAGCAAAAATATTATATTTTTTCGATTTAGAAGACTCATTAGCCAATTTCGTAAATCAGCCAGACTTATTATTATAATAAACAGTTCATGATTTTATCAATTTATAAGCTCAATTTTCTGCCACACTTACTTTCCACTATCTGAGATAATCCAAACTGCTATTTTTATAAGCTTTATGTTCTAGTTTAGTAAATGTAAAATAATTATGAATGGGAAAATAAGTGTCAGACTCAAAAATTTTGTTTTTTGTCACTAAAACAGTTTATTTTTCATATACACCGACTGGAAAAATGAATACGAAAAAACTCACTGCCTCCTGAACTAAATGTAAAATTGCAGAATCAATCAAATGGCACGATTCTTTTTATTTTTTAATTTCTGTTCTGAAATCTGAAATGTTTGGGTGGATGTGCGATAAATGTTCGAATTATTTTTGGGGGGGCTAATTTGGTTTTTGGGGGGGCTTAGCCCCCCCCTTAACTTCGCCCATGAATATAAATTTAAAATGGCATAAGAGATTTTGCTGAAATTTGGTATATTGGTAGAGTTTTATGTGGCAAAAAAATGGTATTAAAATTTTGTCCGATAATAATACATAGGCGCAGCAAAAGTTGGGTGGCTAGGTAGGTACATGACGATTTGAAAACTTTTCAGAATACACTCTCTCGAGCATTTCCTTCACAATATCCTATTGTCAGTAACATATAGGTATATTCTGCATTGGTATATTGTACAGCCATATTAATAAACCACGCATTTGTTTTTTTTTATTATTGAGTCAGATAGAACACTTTCAATCGTTAACAAGAGATTAGATGTTAAAACTTGACAATATTTTTATTTAGATGAAACTATGGAAACCAACAATAAATGTTTTTGTATACGTATTGCAGGCAAATAATTAATATTCCTCAAAAAATCGTACATGGCAAGAATCGAGTTTTTTTGTTAAAAGTCTCGATTAGAGGTGTTGAAAAAGATATGAAAAAAGTACATTTTTATGTTTTTCATTGTATAAAATTTTGTCTGATAATAATACATATGCGTAGAACTTGATTTTTTAAATAATTGCACCTTTAAAATTCTACGCCAATGGCAGAAAAGGGGTTTGAATATGAAATTTGGATTGGGTACTCTTTTACTACAAAAAATTACCCTTGATAACACTCGATTTACTCTTATAGTTTTGACAAAGTTTGTATTTTAATAATTATTGTTTATGTTCTAAAATTACTAAAATGCAAATTTCGTCAAAACCATGAGAGTAATCGAGTCTTATCAAGAGTACCTTTTTTAAAGTAAATGAGTTGCGCAATCTAAATTTCATATTTAAACTTCTTTTCTTCCATTGGCGTAGAACCTGTAGAAAATGAGGAACAACTCTGGCAACGTATTCAAGATGCAATAAACAATCTTAGAAGTGATGAAGAAGTTATGAAAAGGATACATTTTAATTTTCTTCGACGTATAAATCTTGTATGCGTGAAAATTTTGAACAATTTTTGTAAAATCTCTATTTTGATTATGTTTTAAATAAATATTTTTGTAAAACCTATACACTCTAAATTATTAAAACAGAAATTTAGCGAAAACCATGAGAGTAATCGAGTTTTATCAAGAGTACTTTTTTTAAAGCAAACTAGTTGCGCAATCTAAATTTCATACTCAAACTCCTTTTCTTTCATTGGCGTAGAATTTTTAAAGGTGCAATTATTTAAAAAATCCAGTTCTACGCCTATGTATTATTATCGGAAAAAATTTTAATACCATTTTTTTTTGCCGCATAAGACTCTACCAATATACCAAATTTCAGCAAAATCGCATATGCCGTTTTAAATTTATATGGGAAAAAAGATTTAAAAATTGTAACTTCAATGCCCTCTGAAGCCCAAACGAAGCAATTTTGTACAAAGGTAATTTTACTTAAATCGACTTACTTTGGTCTAAGGAATATGTGGTATATTTTTGTAAAAACCTCTTACAGACACTTTGTAGAATGTCTCAGCTTTTCTTTTGTGAATATTGTTGTCTATAGTAATGATCTCAATTTTTTTTTTGTTATTTTCTCGTCGTCTTCGTCGTTGCTTGCTGTTCTTTTTTCTGCTTCTAAACCTTTTAACTTTCCCACAAACTCCTCGTATGTGCTACATGTATCAGTACGTGGGTACCCGAAAGCTATGTTGAAATCATGATTAAAAATAGTTCTATAACTTTCGTAGAACAGTTTAATAGTTGGGTGGAGCTCACAAAACATGTTCTTTATACACAAATTTTCGGAGAAATAAAGTTTTAAGGTCTTATTCAAGCTGTAATGGCTATTTTTCCCTTAAATGAATTAATAAATAATATAAAAATATGGAAAAACAAAAAATAAAAAATCAGAAACAATTATAGAATACAAATATAAGAAAAACTAAGACATTAACTGTTTATCATCAAAATGTGCAAAGTATATCAAACAAAATCGATGTTCTGGAAATTGAGATGTTTAAACATAATGTAGATATTTTTTGTATGTCTGAACATTGGCTAAAGGAAGGTCATGATGAAATAATCAACATTAAAGGTTACAAGCTTGTCTCTGTATATTTAAGAAATGTCAAAAAATGTGGGGGAGTTGCGATTTTTTACAAGAATGAATTGTCAAAAAATATTAAAGAAATAACGAAAATAAAACAATTCTCTGTTGAGGAACAATTTGAAGTTTGTGGAATTAAATTCTCGTTAGACAAGGAGATAATAGATATTTATTGCATTTACAGTAATCCTTTAAATTCTAATGAAATAATTTCTAATTTAGATTTATTTCTTGCAGAAATTTGCACCGCCCATGACAATAGCAATAAATGTCACAAGTTTTTATTCTGTGGCGATCTAAATATCAACTACCTATAGTCTATTTTTATGTATGAGAGAGTATTAAAATAAAGCGTTCGTAATCCATAGGCGTACCACTTCTTTTAGTAGACAGTTAAAATATTTTTTAAAGTTATTCCTTGAGTATACATTTATTTTCACTAATTAACCTGCTTATAACTTCTAAACAGCTGAAGGTAAAAAAAGTGCAATTTTTTCTAAAATGTTTTATTTTTCCACAAGGTATGTTAAGAACATTGTGTCAAACGAGTTATGTAGGTATAAGGGTTTAAACTTTAACTTTTAAACAACGTTAGGTTCATAAATAATAATTTTAATATAAAAACTACTTCTTACCTACAAATCCAAATCAGAATCGAAATCAGAAGATGAACTGTCACAACCAATATTTACAATGAGTGGCTCTATCATTTCATCAGTAATATTGAAAACTTCCACATTTTCTCTTCTTCTTTAATCGTATGATTTACTGCCTTTTCCCAGTTTTCAGGCTTCACATTATTTACAGCCTCCAAAAACAACTGTTTAACATCACTCATTTTAAAAGAATGATTTTTTCTTGAAACTTCTCCCTTTATCTGTGCCCATATCAGTTCAATCGGGTTTACTTCGCAATGATATGGTGGTAATCTAACCACCGTCATCCCACGATTTTTTGCAATTTCATCAATTTCATATTTTTTGAATTTCTCTTTATGAAGGGAACACAAATGATACAGTTCTTTTTTCACAGAACCGGGATGGAAGTTAATATTCTTTGAATTTAGCAAATTCTGTAAATATTTTTTTAACCACTTGGTTGTGGGCATTTTTTCTATAAGTCTCCAGTGATAACTTGCATTATCCATTACTATTATACAGTTCTGAGGAAGAAGATCTATAATTTGTTTGAACCACTCTTTAAAGATATCAGCATTCATGTCCTCATGGTAGTCACCGGTACGAGTAGATTCAAAAGTCAATAAACCACCTTTAACAAAACTGTTTGAACTACCGATGTGTATTATTATTAGTCTGCGCCCCTTTCCTGATGGTGGATTTAAACCAGTAGATAAATTATTTAAAAAAGCCTGTCTTCGACTTGTAACAGTTTCATCTTGCCAAAATTTATTTGGTTTATGTCCCTCGTTGATCCATGTTTCATCTAAATAAAATATATTTCTTCTTTGGTTTCTCATTTCTTTTATAGTCCTTAGGTAATTTCTTCTCCATACTACAATATCGCTTCTTTCTATTAAAATAGACTTTCTGCTATGCTTTTTCCATAGAAAACCTATTTCTTTTAAAAGTTTCCATAGTGTGCTTCGACTCATTTCAGGGTAATCCTTATCATCTCGAACCGAGACAAGAACTTTGTCTACTGTCGAAAATTCTTTTCTAAAGAAGAACGCATTCACTTTCTTTCGAAGTCTTTCTTTCAAAACATTTTCTAATTAAAATTTTGGTTTTCTTGGAGCTTTACGTGCTGTTTGAAACTCGCCACATTTCTTTTCTTTAACAACTCTGTAAATCGTAGATTTCCCAACACCAAGCGTACTACTAACTAATTCCACTGTGTTATCAACACTTTTACATAAATGTTTATCTGTAAATGATTTAAAACAATTAAATATTAATGTTTTTTTCATTAACTATTAAAGGACCGATTTTTTGTCGTTTACGCGGCCCTTACAAATTTTCCATGATCACACTAGAATTCACATTGCACCTTGCAAATTGCAACTAAACAACATTTAGTAAACTGTCAAGAATAGACAACTTGGACCTCCTTACTAAATGGAAAACCTATAATCGCATTTTCAGTGAAATTTGTTGGGAAGGTATTTATCTACTTATAATTCGATTACTGTAAGAAATTCTTGGAATTAAAATAAAACAAAATTGGCAAATAGGTACTTATTGAAAATAATCTGAAGATACGGCTATGTAATTTTTAATACACAGGGCTTTTGGCCTGTCCAAATCTTTTTCTATTGTTATGTACAGCTTATGTTTATAAAGGACCAATAAAAGACCCAAAACTTGTAATAGCTCAGGTACATTGCTGCTGTTTTATTCATACATAAAAATAGACTATAGTAAATTCCTTAGAACGTAAACAATTATCAGATGTTTTTGAGTCTTTTGGAACGTTCAACCATATAAATAGTGCAACGAGGATCACGCCTACATCAAAAACAGCAGTTGATTATATATGTAGTAATTTTATTGGGAATATATTTGCTGATATTAGTTTTAAAGGCTTATCGGATCACTTTTGTCAAGTGATGAGATATGAAATTATTTTTCCAACTATTATAGAAACATTAATTGTAGAGTATTCAATGACACAAATTATCAGGTATTTTATAATCACTTAAATAATGAATCATGGAAGGATATATACGAGTGTGTCAACGTTAATCGTGGTTTTGAATCCTTTGTTAATACCTTCAAATATTATATAGATATAACATTTCCATTTAAAAATATAAAACCAAATCAATACAAAATAAAACCATGGCTGACATCAGGAATATTGCGGTCTTCTCAAAGGTTGAAAGAATTTTACCATTTAATGTGTTTAACAAATAACGAAGTAGATGTTTATTACTATAGGAATTATAAAAAAATATACAGAACAGTTGTAAAAGCCGCGAAAAAAATGCAAAATGATAGAATATTTAATAATTCATCTAATAAAAGTAAGTGCGTATGGAACATAATAAATAAAAACACAAATAATAAGACAAATAATTCTAATGCTATACATTCAGTAGCCGTAGATAATGAAGTAGTGACAAACCAAAAAATAATTGCGAACACTTTTAATGATTTTTTTGTTAATATTACACATCACTTAACGATTAAAAATAATGTCGATCAAAAGGACTATGAGTTTAAACAAAAAAAGATCTATGAAAATATATTCGTTCATCCTGTATCAAACACAGAAATGTTTAAAATTATTTTAAGTCTCAAAAAGTCTGGTTCATTGTGTTTGGATCATATTAATAGTAAAATATTGATCTCGGCAGTAAACTATTTAGTATATCCTCTTACTTTTTTTTATTTAATTTGTCATTAGTTAATGGATTATTCCCTGATGTATTTAAGACGGCAAGAATTGTACCGATATTTAAAAAGGGAGAAAACACTAATGTCCAGAACTATCACCCAGTTGCAATTCTTAGTTCAATCTCAAAAGTATTAGAAAAAGTTATTTATTCTAGAATTATGCAATATTTAGATTCTAACAAAACACTTGTAAATAACCAACATGGTTTTAGGAAAACGAAAAGTACAATTTATAAATAGAGTGTATAACGCGTTAGATAACGGACACAAGTGCATAGGCCTGTTCATGGACTTAAGCAAAGCTTTCGATTTAGTCAACTACAAAATCTTAGAACACAAATTATACAACTATGGTCTGCGTGGAAAATTAAGCGATTGGTTGATGTCTTACCTGGACAATAGAAGACAAGTTGTTGATATTAATGGCATATTATCAGACATTTAAGACACATCAATAGGGGTTCCACAAGGGTCCATTTTGGGCCCTTTGCTTTTCCTAATATATGTTAACGATCTTCCGGAAATTCCTAACTTTGGCAATGATCTTACAATATATGCGGATGATAATAATTACCTATGCACTGATGATACATTAGATAATTGTCTAGTTAAATTACAATATATGATTAACAAATTTAAAAAATGGGTTTCATCAAATAAGTTATGTATGAATACGGAGAAAACAACATTTGTTCATTTTACACCTCGACCGATAACTGATGAATGCCATTTACTAAAAATAAATGGCAAATCCATACAACAGAGCCAAAACACAAAATTTTTGGGAATTCATATTGACGCTTCGCTAACATGGGTGCAACATATAGATGAAACGTGTAAAAAAGTATGTTCCTCTTGTTATGCATTGATACGTCTTAAACAATTATGCAATGAAAAAATTCTAATTTCCTACTATTATAATTTGGTATACTTCCAAATTAATTACGGTAATATATTTTGGGGATCATCGCCCCATTTAATTAGACTTTTTAGACTTCAAAAACGGCCTCTCAGAAATATCGCTGGTATTTCTAGATATTCATCTTGTAGAAATATTTTTAAACAATTAAAAATATTAGCGCTGCCCTGTATATATATGGTTGAACTGCTAATATACGTAAAAACTAATTTAAATATGTTTATGAAAAATGCAGTTATTCACGATTATGGTACCAGAAATAGCGATTCTTTAGTAATTCCGGCTCACAATTTGTCGTTATATGAAAGAAGTCCTTATTTTTTAGGAAATCAGTTGTATAATAAACTGGATCTGACTCTTAAAGAAATAAATAGTCCTAAATACTTTAAACGTAGAATAACAGTCTTATTTTCAAGGAAAGCATTTTATACTGTTTCTGAGTTCCTTGATTCGTAGATAAATTATCTCCTTCATAAATATTATATTATATTTTGGTTTATAAATAAGTTTGTTTTAGATATTTTTAAGTTTAGTATCTATTTCAGAATTTTAGTACTTTGTATTTTCTATTCTACCTCATTAAATTGTACACCATGTTTTGAATTTTCTCCTATCTGTACAAGGTCTCTTAGAATTAAAGATTTATTTATTTACTATTTATTTATTTATTTATTTATTTATAATATGTTCACGGACTGCACTTTTTGTTTCAATGCTAAGCGAGTTCTCTTGTAAACCCAGCCAACCCCCGTTGGTCTTCCGGTGCTGAACCAGTCGACTTGATACTCAACTTCTTTTTCATGATACCATAAACAGATATACAAGCTTTAGGATATATTTCAATTCTTTCACAGCATCTTTAAACGTTCCTCTTAATCGATATTTATAAGTGGCCTCATAATGCTTACTTACTTCTTTTTTTGATGTTCGTTGGACGGGCAAGACGGATATTAGTCCACAAAGGTATACATTTTGTGCGTTAGTAGAATTTTAACCCTAGTCTCTTGTGGCACTAATGCAAAACACTTTTTTCGGCACTGGCACTCTGGTCCCATTTCATGTGACATAGTTTTAATTTTTTTTCTAACATCTCTAATTCTTCCGGTTATTTTCCTTTTTCTCGTTTTCTTTACTCTACACCATCTTCAAACTCATTATCATCACTACTGATACTTATTTAAACAAACAAGTCAATATAACCTCTAAATCAGTGTGTCAAACAGTCAAACATGTGGCAATAGCCGCACATAAAATAATTTCTGGCGCAATAAGCCCCTTCTTGTCTGCATCTTTTAAATGAGCCCGTTCTTGCCCTGTACACCTTTTTTTAAAATACAGATATAGCTGGTAAGTACAATATGGCACAATATCGGTATTTTTCGGAAATTGCCAATGAGCCCCTTTTTCCCTTTCCCCTACTTCATTTAAATAATTTTCGCAATGCTGCAATGTGTTTTGATACATTATAATTTATTAGGTTATATTATAAAATTAATTTTTGATTAAATTTTTTTAGTAATATCTACCACGTACATAACAGCTTCTGTGTAGTTCATGTTTATGACTAATTTTTAATTATTGCTCAAATTTTTTATATTATATAATATTTTATATTGCTTAATTAGTTTATTGGTAAAAAAAAATTATGTATCTAGTTAATGTATATTATAATGTATACTTTTTTGTAGGTTAAGTGGAAGAACGCTCTTCTTCATTCTGATTTTTTTTTTCAGATTGAAGAAAGCGAACTTTGCCTGTTGCTCTACAGGATACCTTGTATTTATCATATTTTAAGTTTATTTTATTTATTTTAATGTATTTGCTTATCTTTAAATGACATTTTTTATACATTGTATTTATTTTATGTGAATAAACAATATTATTATTATTATTATTATTATTATTATTATTATATTATTATTTATTATAAATTAAATGAAAATTAAATTAGTATGAAGGTAGGTTAGGTTAGAGTATATGTATAATAAGTACCATGGAGGTATAATACTAATGAAGATGCCATGAGGCAATTGTTTTGCATATGATACGTTTGATTAAAAATGACCCTACTGGGCGTGGCTTAAATGGTTGACTAAGCAGGGTCATAATTAAATATAATTAAAGTCCGAATGCAGAATTACAACTTTTAAATGACTTACTTACCTAAGATTTGTTTCAACATGATCGATTCGAAATTAATTTGATGACATTGTGCAATTATGACATACACTATTTACTATTACTTATTAACCGTTTTCCGACCAAGCCAATGCCAAGACCATAAAAGAGATTAATATTATTATATTGTTCTGTCTTCGCCGAAACCATCCGATATATGACCTGTGTGATCGAAAATCAACATTCGAATAACACTGTGCATCAGATTTGTTAATCTCTTTGTGCTTTAAAACTAAAACCCGAACTACGATTTTTCGTTCAAGGACTCTCTTGTCTTCATCAAAATCTGACAATGAGGAGAATTATGACATCAAATTAACAAACCAAAAACCAAACCACTACGTGAATTGTGAATAAATATATTTCAGTAAAAATAAAGCCGAGTTTGTAGAAAGGACAATTAATTACTTTTAAATGTAAAACATGTAGGTCTTTCTGCTGCAGATGACATACATTAAAAATATGACCCGCTACAGTCAAAAGTTTAAAAAGACCAAAAATTCAGCTAGGTATGACTTTATGGTTAAAAGTAGATGGAAGGAAGCCATGATCAAAACTACTCTGTCAAAACCAATCGGAACTAAAAAGACTCAGATAATAGTTGTTGGTTTTATTTTTGTTTAAAATAATTAATTATATAGGGTAGGTACATATATTACTAAAATTGCAAAAAGTACTTACTAAAGATTTCTATAATTGGTACCTATGTATAATAAACAACAATCTCACAGATGCACAGCATACAACTATACAAATGGAATTATAGAGATAATTTATTTTAAAAATAGGCATTCAGTTGCGATTTGTGATTACAAAAAGAAAACTTTAACCACTTTTTCTGATCAAAAATGTTAGTGTTATAGTGAAAAAGTTTCTGGAAACTGGTGTTTTTAATCCTAATAAAGCATTGTGAATTTCCAAGAAAATTGCATGATGAAAATTGTTTTGACCAAAATTTTGAATGTCATGCCATTTAAAAAGAAACCCTGTGGCTGTGGATAACATTTGACACAAAATCTTATCCTAAAAATAACTGTTTGGTTGCATTGGAGAAATAATTTCTTCATTGGTACTTTTTTAGGGTGCAAGGATGACTTGACATTACTAAGCTTTAATTTCTGATACACCTGTATTGTACATACTTAAAAAATATAAAATTGTTTAAGTGGAAAGTTTATATACAAGGTGTCTCATTGAGAAAGGGATACAGAACAACTGAAAAGTCTGATTAAAAATAAGACTATGCTTAGAATGCGAATATTCTTCAATTTAATTTTGAAGTTTCTTGTAAGTTCCCAACAAAAGTACCTATACGATTTACTTAAAAAACATCAAAAAATATATAATTATAGTTCAAATAAGTGTAACGTATCTTATGACACCAAAAACTTTTGCCAAATTTGGTAAAATTATAGGTAACTCTTCAGTTTTTCTTAATAAGACACTAAAAAAAAAAATTATTATTTAAAAAAATATTTATTGACCTTTAAACAACACTATTTTGTTATTTTGATGTCTTATGCTAGCAGCTTTATTAACTCTAGTTTTAGTGAGATATGTTAGTCGGATACTAACATATTTATCAACTATGCACTTGATTATCCGACACTAGTCCAAACTTTGCTGCATAATATTCGAAAAGACATTAGAATTTATAAATTCTTTTAAAACTAATGTGCTGATGATGATATCAACTGATATTTTTTTATATTTTAAACAAATGTTTATTACATTTTCCAATGGATATTGCAAACCATTTTTATTCTTTATATCAATGAATGAAAATAGAAACAAATCTCTAGTTTTACTTATTAAAGCATCTAGACATTGTTCACAAATGATTTTCTTTTTTAAATAATAAACAACATATCCAGAAATATAAGTGATTATATATTTAGAAAAGGAGGAGACTGGATCTGGTAAATAATCATGATCATTTTCAATAACATTCACTTTCTCAAAATCGTCAATATTATCAGACATTGCATATTCCTTTGAAGTAACATTTAGCTGGCTTGTTATATTGTACTTTAAAATAGTTAATTCCTCCAAAGGAATACAATTTCCACGGAAACTATCTCTTAATTCAACATGAACTAAAAATGTTTTATATGCAGACTGGAATTGCCTGACTGTAGGATTATTGTTAAAACCTCCATGAGACCGTATTGAACAAAAAAATAATTCTACATTGTCTTGTGAAATTTTGTACAAAGGCAAAAATTTTAAAAACTTATTTTCTACAATTAAATTACTGTATAGTAATTTTAGGCTTGCAATGCATATTTTTAAACCCAGAAATCGTGTTGATCTATCAGTTTCTAATAGACGTTTACCATCAGCATGTGTTTTTAAAGAACTAATATATTTATCGACAGAGTCAAGAAAAATACATGTAATATTGTAATTATTTTCAGATAGAGGTTTCTTATAATTAAATTGCAAAAGATTTCGTGAATTCAGGATGTTAAACAGAATGTTCATTTTTATAATAAAATTAATTGTCTCCCCAGCATTTTTAAAATCTTCAGTATGTAGAACGTTCGCACAGAAATCTAAGGTAGTTGAGACGCTTTCGCTAAATAGTTGGGTTGCAAGACGAACTTTCATTTTTTGTTTTTTAAAAGCTATATGTTGCGAGTTTAGCTTATTTGCTAAGTGGAAAGATTCATTTTCCTGTAATTCGTGAAGTTATTTGAAATACTTCCACTCAACAATTTTATTTTCTTTATTTACAAATGAATACTTTTCTGCTAAAGTATTTCTAATTAACTTTAGCATATGTGGCGGATCTAAAAATATAACAATTTCTTCATTATTTGATGGATGCTTAAAACTAGTTTTTAAGGTTGTATGATGTAAATTACAGTCCAAGAGTTTGGCCATTGTTACATTATTAGAAGCACCATCAAATGTTAAAGTTACAACACTAACCGACTTCATAACATTCCTTTAAGCATTCTAATACCAATCCCTTTTTCTGTTCACCTGTCATACTTGAAATTAAAAAATATCCTACTGAAATTTTCCAGCTTCCATTTACACAATTTAATAAGAAAACACGAGCATTGTTTGGCAAGCGTAGTTTCATTTGCACCCGTTCCTACATAACCATAACTTCTACGTTCGCTTCCAACAAACTCCTCATGTTGACGAATGGCCATTTCATCCATAATAAGTGCACAAATTTGAATTTGATTTAATTTGTAGGGCATTGAAAGCCTCACTTGTGAATCCAGGCCCACCTTTTATACTTTGATACCATCGACTGATTGTACGGACATGTGGTAAGCAAGTGTCAAATGTTCTTCTTACATAATTATAAGCAGCAGGTGAGTAATAGTGGAGAGTTAAGGAAAACACTTTTAGCTCTTCTGAATACTTCTTAGGCAATGGTAGGTTAGACTTTTTTTTAATTGCCTGCTACATATCTCTGATACCTACCAAATGAACTTGGTGATTCCACCAAAATTTTTAAACTAAAAAGAAAATTATTAAAGTATTAACTACAATTAAAAATGTTGTCTACTACGGTTACACAAGTTTCGGTTGTTCCGGTGTCAACCTTCGGGCCTTCGACGTCGCTCAGACGGCAGGTAGGGGGTGGATAGCTTACAATAATTCCGGAAATAGTAGACAAATGAGTAGGCGCCAACTGGGTCTATATAGTGGCCAAACTATGATCCTATTTCCCCAAAAACCCAGTAAATGAGGAAAGAAATAAAAGACAAACCTCAACTTATGTTCCTTTATAAAAAAAAAAAAAAAAATATTTACTAAATATATCGGCTTTAGATTTCAACAATTATAATGAACAAACTAATTACCTAATGGCTTAGATAATCCAAAAAAAGTTGGAGGAAATAAAAGGGAAAATTTACACTGTATATGTATATGCGTAACCCAAAAAAAATTAATAATGTATCAAAGTATGGCACGGTTCGTCGTTAGCTTGGTACCAGGCATGACGCTTGCGCAAAATATTAATTTCCACCTTACATAAAAAATAAAATATAAAATAATAGTTAACTTAAATCTTGTGCATAACCGCACCTATACTACATCATATATTATAAACTAAACAATAAACTTATAATCCTTATAAGCTTATAACCCTCTCCAAATTGGAAGGCGATATCAGCTTAACTTTTGGTTAAGACCAAACTACCCAAAAGAAAATTATTAAACCATGAAATTTTATAATTAAGTATAATTCATACAACTAAATAAAAATATCAAAAAAAATAAGAATACAATGAACATATAAAGGACTTTAGACACAGAGGTAGGTTATTTACTTAAACTCCCAGATTGGAAGAGGTTACTTAATCTCTGCCCCCACACGGGTCTTCTGAGATTGCTTAACTTAATCGTCTGGTCCATTTAATAATGAATAAATTGAATAAAGTAAAATTATGGCAGTAGCCCTTAATAACTGAAGAATTACAACTTAAACGTGGAAGCAGTCCAAGTGTTCTGCGACCCGAAGGATTACTACATCAGCATTAAGTGCTTAAATTAAGTAAACATTTAAAATATTAATCAATTAAACGATGTAACATTTGATAATACTTAAGTTATGAGTGAAAGAACCCTAGAACATTCTGTGCTCAAAAGTATAAATAATGTTGAGAATACCTTGACAACATTCGGTTGAAAGTGAATGTATAGTTTAACAATGCACGCATTAAACCTTCAATATAACGTATAAGAAAAACCTGA